CCCAGAGAGAGAGGTGAGTAACGGACGGACGGACCGGCGCACCGCTGATTGCAAAGATTTCTTTCGCGAGGGAATTCACACCCCGCCGGGGATGGAGCTGAGCAGATTACGCCGGCGCGGGCGGGCGGGCTAAAAGGAACTAATTTCACGTAAACACGGCGACTCTCCCGGGCGGACGGATCTCTAGCCCCCCCACCTCCCTCCACCCTCTCACTCTGTCCATTCGGCCCTCATCGTGTTATTAATGCCACCCCGTTTGAATATTTGTCAAGTCGATGGCCTTTACCCGCTGCGTCGGGGTGAACTTGATACAAAATCTCTGCCGAGGGACGTCCCCTAAAACTAAAAGATTGGAAATTGCCAAAGTTTTCCGGAAAATTTTCCAGGGCTTCCAACCCTAGTCCCCCGCGCGCCCGCCCCTTTTTGTTTCGATAGTGTGAAATCGCCCATCCCGTGTGCTCTCCTCTGCGGTGGCCTCTCGCGGCTGCCTGCCCGCGCGCTGGCGCCGGCCGGCGGCGCCTGATTGCATGACGTGCATTTGTCAGCCGTTCATTTCGAACCGCGCGCTAAAAACGGCGTAAATTATCCCCCCCCCCCTTTTCCGCAGCAAGTTGAAGAGTTTTGTACGTCGGCGCCATATGGTCGCGGCGCCACTCGTTTACCCCCCCCCTCCCCCAACCCCTTTCCCTTCCGGTTGGACCGTCCGCACCGCCCTGTTTTCTCACTCTAATTTGAATGCGTGACACTTAATCGCGCGTGTGATGTGTAGCAGTGTGAGGGCCGGCGATATCGTCGCGACGCCGCGCGTCGGATAAGCCCGTGCGAGAGCGAGAGAGAGAGAGGGGGGGGGGAAGGGGAAGGGAGACGGCGGCGCGGCGGCGGCGCTACCAGTGCTGCCCCCTGCGGGCGTCGCCGGCCGTCGCGTCCCGAGGCGCGGAGGCGCGTCCACATGCGCGCGCCACCCACCGCTGCCGTCCCCCCCCCCCCCCCCCAATCCGCGAGCCTGCCCGCGGGCCGCCGTCGCGCCGCGCCACTGAACGCACCCCGGGCCTCCTCTCCAGGCCCACTTCGGGCCGCGTTCGGGCCCCTCTGCCCTGCGCTCGGCTCGCGCTCGGCTCAGGACGACACGACGGGCCGCCCCGCCCGCGCTGGCAGCCAGCAGCCGTGGGCCCAGCAGCAGCCAACGGAGGGGTCGCGGGTTTACGCGAACGGCCTGGCCGGCCCGACCGAGCAGCCAGCCGGCGAGCCGGGTCGCGTCTGGGTGGGGACGCTTCGGTCGTCGTCGGCTGGGCTCGGCGTCGCGGGCCGGGGGCGCGGGGGAGGGGGCGGGGGGCGTCCAGCCGAGCCGAGCGCCGAGCCGAGCGCCATACTGGCAGCCTTGCCTTCCCCTCGGAGCCCAGGCAGGCAGGCAGTCAGGTCTGAGCACTGGGGCCGCGTTCACGAGCCGTGCTCTAGCTCTGCTCTGCCCTGCTCTCGCTCCTGCTCCTGCCTGGCGTGGCGTAGCCCCAGCCCCAGCCCAGCTGTGCTCACTGCTTTGTTCAACCGCTTCCTGTACGCCGGGTACGCGCTCGTGCCTGGCGCCTCTGAGGATATCAGCGCCCCCCGCGTCCCCGCGAAGTGAGTGAGGACGCCGACCCCGCGGCCCCCGCCGCCGTCCCTCCCAAATGGAATAATTTTCGAGTCCTCCCCGTGGTTCACTCCACACCACGCTCGACCAGGACCGTCGAGAGCAAGCCAGCCAGCCAGCAAGCAAGCAATCAAGTCTGTGATAACCCTTGGAACGTCGTGAAGTGCGCGTGTTAAGTGCGGTTTCTTAGTGCGGTAGGAGACCGGCTTCAGCCAAACTATCAAAATACAAAAGAAAGTGTCATATAGTGTTAAAGTCAAAAGTTGAGATATAAACTGTGCATCATAGTTGAATTAAGGTGAGTTCAGCAGCGACGGCATCATCATTTTCACTTCGATGTTCTTGTAATTTTCTTTACGAGATTTTTTCGTAGTCTGATTGGTGTAGAATTGTGCTGTAGCAAAATGGAAAAGGCCCATCAGTGAGTGATACACATATATAAATCAGTTGAGTGATGTCGAAGTTTGTTCAGTGGTGGTGACAAGTGCTCAAACCTGTGATTAACATCGTAACACCCACGGTACGGTGTGGAGTGGGAACTCGACGAGGTGAGTGGCACACAATCATCATCCAAGCTTTTCTGAGTGAATGTCCGCCAGCGTGGTCCCTCTCACAACGACGGCGGCGGCGACGGGCGCCCTCGCCGCCGTCGTCGTCGTCATTAAAAATGTGAGCCAATAAGGTGGCCGTTATCACTGTTATCACGGGCGGGCCGGGGCAGGGCGCTTATCACTGGGGCTGCCAGCGCTATCGCGGCTGCCAGCCGGCGCGGCCGGCCGGACGGGCGGGGCGCGGCGCGCGAGGCTCGACGACGACGTCAGATGCAACGTCGGCGGCGGCGGCGGCCCCGGCCCGGGCGCGCCTTCCTCCTCCTCCATGCTTGATTCAGGTTTACGAGGGCGGTCTATAATAGAGCACTCGCGCGCCGCTCGGCGCCGCCCCCGCCTCGCCCCAGCCCCCCTAAAAATAAGCAAGTCGTCGACGGCCGACGCCGGCCCCCGAGGAGCGTCGTCGTCGCCGCCGCCGACGCCGCCGCTGGCCGGCCGGACCATCTCGCGGCCTGGTGGTGGGCGTAGCTGACGACGACGTCCTGGCGGCGGCGGCCCGCGGCGCGGCCCCTATCTCGCTTCTTGTCGTCGACGCGGTGCTCGCGGGCCGCTAAGTGGACGCCCCCCTCCGCCGCCCGCATGTTGTTGTCACGTGCCCCGTCAGCTGCGCCGCGCATTGTCGGCGCGGTAGGCCCCCCCGGCCGGCAGCAGAAGACAAAACTCTGTCGCTCGCCCCGCCCCGTCCCGCCCCGCCGACCAACAATAAATGACAGTCGTGGACGATGAATGGAATCTTATTGTTGCGGCGAGGGCACTCCCACCACCACTATACCGGCGGCTCCGGCTGGACTCTGCTCGGCTCGTCGCTGATGACAGGACGAGACACAAGGCGCGGCTCGCCTCGCCCACACGTCCCTTGTCTGTCGCGCCAAAGTACAGTAGACGCCACCAGTTACACACACACACACTGGACGTGTCAGTGACGTGAGTGACGTGTCACTGGGCCGCAAGCAGCAGCAGCTGCTGGCTACCGGTTCGGACAAATCCCCCCGCCTCGTCCAGGCTCATGCGTGTGCGCCGTGCTCGTGTTGCTCCAGCAGCGTCATGTTGCTGGTCAACGTGGCAGCCCCGCGAGGGGGCCGCCCAGCCTCGAGCTTCTCCAGCTCCAGCCGCAGAGAGGACCGCCGCAGGTGGACGCGTAATCGGGCGAGGAAGACGGGGACGGGAGGCGCGGGGTGTGCTTCCGGCCGAGCCGCGCCCGAAAGCACCCGAAGGCCGGCGGCCGAAGGGCCGCCCGTGACGGATGGATCGCGGCCGGTCTCGTTTCGGAAAGGGTTTCCATCATGGATCGACGTCGCTGTCCTCTTCTTCGGTCCTCTCCTTTTTGTCTAGCCCGCGGCGCGCATGTTCCGTTTTCAGACACAATTTTTCTCGCCGAGGCGTGTCGTACAGGGTGGTCTCCACAGACCCCTTCCTTTATTTTGCTTATACTGTACCGGATGCAGGCGTGCGGACGGGTTGCATACCCGCACGGGGTCATAAGGCGCCCATGGTGAGCGACAGTAGGCAAGACCGCACGCATGCATGCGGTACAGTAAAAGCAAAATAAAGGAAGGCGCCTGTGGACCACCCTGTATAGTATTTTCTGGTCGGGTCACGACGGCGGGGACGGGCAGCAGCGGTCCCATATGGAGGGCTCCCGGGGGCGTTGGACCCCAGAGGGTCCGCGTCGCGTGCCGACCAGGGGGCGTGGCGGGGTGTGGCGGGGCCGGGGCGCACCGCGGCGCACACATGGCGGCGCCGGCGTCGTGCCGAGCCGGTTCGTTAGCTCACTTTCTTTCTGCACTCTGACCTTTTGCGCCTCTCCTCCTCGGGCGGCCGCCGGCCCCGGCCGGAGGGAGGCGGGGGTCACGGGGGTCACTGCCTTCTCCAGCACGTTGGCGGCGAGCGTCACTCCTAGGGGGACACTTTCCGTGGCGTGCAGGTGGTGTGGTGTCGCCGGCCCCCCTTTTCCGCCCCGCCGCATCACCAGTGGCCTGGTTGACCCGTCCGCCCCCCGCCGGCCCCTCCCGATGATGCCCCTGCTGGCATTGATTATGAGGCGGGGGGCGGTAGGGGGCGGCAGGATGGGGCTTCCACTGTCTACCTGCCGGTATGGAGGGTTGGGGGACCTCCCCCCGCCGCCCCGACACAACTGTCACGGGCGCAGAGGCCCAGGCGGCCCGGGAGGGGCGTGCGCGCGCGCGGGTTCAAAGCACTGCTCGCTGTGTTTGCGGCCGGGGGCTTGTCGCCGTCCGCGTCAGCGGCCGCTTGTCTGTCGTCTGTACCGCCGGCGTCCTCGCCTCCTCCCGCTCCCCTTCGTCGCCCGCCTCCCCCAGTGGTGGTGGTGATGGTGGCCCCGGGGGC